CCAAGGACACTACAGTCTATTTTTTTTTTATGTGGAGAGGAAGAGGACGAAGGCTAGGAAGGGTTGGCAGTGATCAAATGAAGCCGTTCATGAGAGAACTTTCCCTCTTCAACACAACTAGCTCTTCCTCAGATAAAGCACAGTCTCTTTGTTTGCAAGTGATGGGGCCATTTTTATATTCATCGTTAACCTGAATTTTGGCACATAAGAAATGCCATTTTATGCATTTCTGCTCAGACATTCAGGCAGATCAGCAGGGTTTATTCTCAGGTTAGTATGAGATTGCAGCCTTAACTGTTACTGCCCCTTGGGGGTTGGGTCAGATATTCATTTTTAGATTTTAGAGACAGAATTCAAAATTCAGATTTTGATTAAGTATTTATTACCTCCTGTGTCTTTTAAGGGTGCAGGGAATGAAGTTCTTGCTTTATTGTTTGCAAGAAAACAACAACAAATCCTCTAGCCCCTACCAAAAAAGAGGGGGGGGGAATTGTGATTGATGGATTTGTAAATAGATGTAGCGTTAGCATTAGCACTTTGGGAAACTTAAAATCAATGATCAGCAACTTTTCCAAGTGTAATTTAGATCGGTAACTGGAGCAACAGGTGATCTGGAATAGAATGAGCTATAACCTTTAGATTTCTGGTAGCTCCCCATTCCTGCATTACGGGTAGAATTTTTGGGGGGGTTTTGAAGTGGCTCCAAGTCAAGAAATTGGCACTTAAAGATACTGTGTGTGCGTGCGCCTGTGTGTGCAAGAGAGAAAAAGTTTTAATTACTCACTTGTTGCTTGCTAGAGAATTTTTGCCCGGGAGGATTTATAATTCTGAGAAATGCTTGCATATTGCATCTAACATTGAATAACCTGAGCTTATTTTGAGGCGCTTCCATTCCATTAAAAAAAATCTTTCTCTTCTCCATTCCTCCAATCCTGCTCCTGTTCTCCTTCCTATCTCCCCCCTCCCCCCCAGATTTGTTTTTCTAAAAAAGACAGACACCATTTGAATCGGTGGGAATATGAACCAGCAACAAAGGATGGCTGCAGCAGGAACAGATAAAGAACTAAGTGACCTCCTCGATTTCAGTATGGTGAGTGAGATGGCGGGGGCTTGGCGGGGCCCTAAACTTGCTTGTGTTGGGGGGGAGATGGCTCAAAGAGCAGTTCCCAACATGCTCTCGGCTGCAAGGGGAGGGGTGGAGAAAACCCCTGGCAGCAGGGAGGGGGGGTTAACTGGGAGTCACAAACTGCAGGCTTCAACTTGTTTGTTCTCTGTACTTAAGAGTATCAAGGGGGACCAGTAATTGCACAGTCTCCTTGTTGTGAAGGCTTAAGGAGGTAGTCGGCCGGGTGGGAACAAAACAAAACAGGTAATCAGGCGGATGTGTTCCACCCTTTCACATTTTCCCCCAACAGACAAAAGTGCAAGGTTCTCGTAACTCTGTAAAATGCCACCAAGATTAATTGTTCATTCGTCCTGAGCCCGCCCCTCCCTGGCCGTTTTCTGGCCAAGCCCAGAATTTTAATTTGTGTTTACTGTACTGGGGAGTAAGTCCTGCCGGCTGAATGTCTTGCGAATGAGCTGAAATTTCCAGCAAAAGCAGCTTTGGGCAGATGGCTGCTCTTGAAGTGAGTAGCTGTGCTTGCCTGGAGCAGGAATTCAGAGGGCTGTGTCAGAGAACGCATGAAATGGGTGCCTCCTGCCCCCTGCCCGGATATTTTTTATTCTTCCAAACAGAGGGGCTATTAGTTGATGGGGATGGCTTCTCAGTTGCATTTTGCCATGGTGTTTTGGTGAATACCTGTATTAACCACAGAGAGGGTGCCACAGACAAAGTGCCAGGGCTGAGAGAAATAATTGAGGGCACTTTCTTTGCCCTACATCAGTGTTTCTCTGCCCTTTGCAA